TACTCCCAGGAGGTGGAGCCACCACCGGCAGCGCCGCAGGAACCCAGCCCAGACTCCTCCTTCATCGATGACGAAGCGGTTGGTACTTCCCTCTCTTATCCCACCCGCGGAATTCCCGGTGGTTCTCGTTGGGTTGTTGTTCCCTGAGGTTTTGCTGTGGTTTCCCTGCAGCTCCAGAAGGGGCTTTGGTGGCTCTAGAAGTAGGTGTCCTTGTTATTAGGGTGTTGGAGGGCAAAGGGAGATGGATTGAAAGTGGAGGAGAAAGGCTGAGGTTGGAGATGAGGAGGGAATTGTGGAGTGTGAGGGTGGGGAGAGCCTGGGTCAGGTTTCCTGGAGAAGCTGTGGATTGATGGGACTGGATGGTCTTAAGATCATGGGATGGTTTGGGTTGGAAGGGACCTTCAAGACCACCCAGATGATCCCCTAGATGACCTTTAAGGTGTCTGCTCCATCTCTGGGGGTGTTGAAGGGCAGGTGGGATGGGGCTTGGAGCAACCTGGGCTGGTAGGAGGTGTCCCTGCCCATGCAGGGGGTGGGATCTAGATGGTCCTCAGCCCATGGAATCATTTGGCTTGGAAAAGACCTTGAAGACCACCCAGATGATCCCCTAGATGACCTTTAAGGTGTCTGCCCCATCCCTGGGGGCGTTGAAGGGCAGGTTGGATGGGGCTTGGAGCAGCCTGGGCTGGTGGGAGGTGTCCCTGCCCATGCAGGGGGTGAGACTGGATGAGCTTGAAGGTCCCTCCAACCCAACCCATTCCCTGATTCCATGATATGTTAATTCCATCCAGCCCAGTCTCCTGACGAGTCTTTGGGGCAGATAAGGTGTGTGGAGCTGAGGTGCTCAGGTTCTCCAGCTCAGTGGGGACCTCCCCACTGACTTCAAATGCTCAAAAACCTGTTGAGATCAACAATGGGAAACGTCTTACTTTTATCTAGAAGCTTCCAGGCTGGTTGGCTGAGCCAGCTTGTACTGCAGAAGGTCCATCTGGTGCTTGGAGCTGGATTTGTCCTTTGGGAGGGAGATGTTCCAGCAGGAAAACTTCAGCTGCCTGCTTGGCTCTTCTCACCAGAGACTTGGGAGGTCCAAGGGTCTCCTGAGCAAGATCACATGGTGCTTAATTGCTCAGGAAAATGAGGTGACCACCTTCTAGCTTGAGTAGATGGGAGACATCCTGATCCTGAAGAAATTCCTGGCTGGAAAAATGTTTGGGGTCTGTTCCCTGCTTGGGGAGCTCGGGCTCCATCCTGGTCATCCTTGACCTGTTTGGAGTTTGTCACCCCAGAGTTGGGTCCAGTTCTGGGGCATGAAGGACAAGGAGAGGGGACAGCAAAGGCCACTAAGGTGCTGAGGGGATGGAGCATCTTCCCATGAGGAAAGGCTGAGGGAGCTGGGAATGTTCAGCTGGAGAGGAGGAGGCTGAGGGGGGGTCTCATCAATGCTGATCAACATCTCCAGGGGTGTCAGGAGGGTGGGACCAGACTCTTCTCAGCAGTGCCCAGTGACAGGACAAGGAGCAATTGGGCACAAACTGGAACATGGGAAGTTCCACCTGAAGATGAGGAGGAACTTCTGGGGACAGAGTCCTGGGACAGGCTGCCCAGGGAGGTGGTGGAGTCTCCTTCTCTGGAGACATTCCCAACCCATCTGGATGTGTTCCTGTGGGATCTGCTGGAGGTGACCCTGCTCTGGCAGGGGGTTGGGCAGGATGATCTCCAGAGCTCCCTGCCCACTCCCACCACTCTCTGGAGCTCCAGGGAATCTCACTCCCTTCCCTTCTCCTTTCAGTTCAAGCGCCTGCAGGGCAAGAGGAACCGTGGGAGGGAGGAGATCAACTTTGTGGACATCAAAGGTGATGACCAGCTGAGTGGAGCTCAACAGTGGTTGACCAAGTCCTTAACAGAGGAGAAGACCATGAAGTCCTTCAGCAAGGTGGGGACCAGGAAAAAGGGGGAATCCTCAACCTGGAGTTCCCCCCATTCCCTTCCCATGTCTGTGGGAACTCTGTGGTCACCAGGGTGGGGGGACACATGAGACCAGCAGAACTTCTCAGGAGGTTCCCAGGAACTGGTTCAGGCCAAGGAATCTTCCCTGAGTCCTTAGATATGGAAAAATATCTTCTGGAAGAGGCTCCAGGTCAGTGTCTTCCTTTGACATTTCTTCTGGTTTTGCTGTTTTTGTTCCCAGAAAAAGGGAGATCAACCCACGGGGCAGCAGAGGAGGAAGCACCAGATCACCTACCTGATCCACCAGGTGAGTGGGCCTGGCACCCCATTCTGGGCAGTGACAGGACTGGGTGCTGGGCAGAGCTCCTGGGCTCAGGGGTGGTCCCGGGGTGGTGGGGACAGGGAGAGGGCAGCAGCTCCTCAGAGTGTTGTGGGTGGGGTTGTCATGGTTCCCAGGGTGTCACAACACTGAGGGTGTTCAGCTGAGGGTGTCACAGGACTGAAGGTGTCCCAGTCCCCAAGGTGTCCCAGCTGAGGGTGTCACAGTCCCTGGGGTGTCACAATCCCTGGTGTGTCCCAGACCCCAGGCTGTCACAGATGAGGGTGTCCCAGTCCCTGGTGTGTCACAATCCCCAAGCTGTCACAGATGATGGTGTCACAGCACTGACAGTGTCACAGCTGAGGGTGTCACAGCTGAGGTTGTCCCAGTCCCTGGTGTTTCCCAGTCCCTGGTGTGTCACAATCCCCAAGCTGTCACAGATGATGGTGTCACAGCACTGAGGGTGTCACAGCTGAGGTTGTCCCAGTCCCTGGTGTGTCACAATCCCCAAGCTGTCACAGCTGAGGGTGTCACAGCACTGAGAGTGTCACAGCTGAGGGTGTCAGAGCTGAGGTTGTCCCAGTCCCCAGGGTGTCCCAGTCCCCAGCCTGTCACAACACTGAAGGTATCACAGCACTGAGGGTGTCACAGCTGAGCCTGTCACTGTCCCCAGCCTGTCACAGCCCTGAGCTGTTGCTCTTTCTGCTGTTCCTTGCCCCATGTCCCTCTGTGACCACTCAAGTGTCACCAACCCCCCCTCCTGCCACCCCCTGGGCCTGGAAGCAGCTCCTGTGACCCCTTCCCCTGGGAGCAGCTTCAGCAGGGAATGAAGAGCAGCCCAATTAATTCAGCCCCCTGTCAAGATCATTAATCCTCCCTCTCATCACGAGCTGCTCCCTGGCAGGGGGACACATGGGTGGGAAAAGCTGCTGACTCAGCAGGACTGATGTTCCCATCTCCATCCCTACAGGCCAAGGAGAGGGAACTGGAGCTGAAAAACACGTGGTCGGAAAACAAGCTGAGCCGACGTCAGACTCAGGCTAAATATGGTTTCTGAGCCCTCCAGCCCACCTGGTGGCCATTGTCCCAGGTGACCAACTGGGTCAAGACTCCTGGAGATCCACCAGGTGTCCCCCCCCGGGTGGGATCTGCTCTGCTGGCTGGGGGTGGGGGGTGGACATTGCTCTCCTGATCCCCAAAATCCACCTGTTGCCTTCGCCCTCCCTCGTTGTGCTTGGAAGGTTCAGAGCCATCTGTCCTGATGAAGGGCTTGGAGCTTCTGTCCTGGAGGTGGCTTTGTCCCTCGGGGGTGGCTTTAGTCCTTGGAGGTGGCTTTGGCCTTTGGGGGTGGCTTTGGAGGTGGCTTTGGAGGTGGCTTTGTCCTTGGAGGTGCCTTTGAAGGTGGCTTTGTCCTTGGAGGTGGCTTTGGCCTTTGGGGGTGGCTTTGGGGGTGGCTTTGAAGGTGGCTTTGTCCTTGGAGGTGGCTTTGTCCTTGGAGGTGGCTTTGTCCTTGGAGGTGGCTTTAGTCTTGGAGGTGGCTTTGGCCCTTGGAGGTGGCTTTGTCCTTCCACCTCTTTTTGTATCCATTTCCTTGGGATCAAGTGTGAAGTGGATGAAGTGGCTGGAAAAGCCCCTTCCTCCCCCCAGGTCCTTCCTCCCCCCAGGTCCTTCCTCCCCCCAGGTCCTTCCTCCCCCCAGGTCCTTCCTCCCCCCAGGTCCTTCCTTCCTTCCTTCCTCCCCCCAGGTCCTTCCTCCCCCTTCCTACTCCCTAAAATTAACCCCTTCCTAGCAGAAAACACTTCCTAACCCACCCCATCTCTTCTCTTTCACCCCCCCAGCTTGAAGTGACACCACGTGGAGACCCACGGATTTGGATCCACATCCCACTTGGATCCCACCCAATCCCAGAGGGAGCAGAAACCTGGTGGTTTAACTCCCATTCCCACCTCTAAGGGAAATCATATTCCTTAACTGCAGCTAATAATTGGTAGAATTATCAGGAGAAACTCCCCAAAGGTGGGTTTTGTGGTTTGTTTTGGGATTGTTGTGGGTTTTTTTTTTTTCCCTTCTTCCCAACAATTCCCAGGAATCTTTTCTTTGGAAGTGCTGGGATTTTTTTGAGTTGAGCTCCTTGGATGTTTTAGTGCTTTGGAAAAGCCCATTTGGAGGATTCCACCAGAATAAAGTTACTGTTGAGTCTCAATTTATTCCTATTTTCTCTGGACAGGAAAATCCTTCTGGAAAAAAAAAAAGAAGGGATTTGATAAAAGGAATAAAAGTTTTCAATGAAGCAAATTCCACCCGTTCCCAGCACTGGGTGTTTGGCTCCTTTTCCAGGTTCTTTATCCTCTGGGAAGCACCTTTGGGGCTTCATCCTTGATGTGATGGGACCAAAAACACTTGGGCCAGGGATGAGGTTGCTCCAGGTGTGAATCCCTTGGGAATGTCTCCCCTTTGGCCCTGGATTGGTGCTCCTGGAGCAGCTCCTTGGGGGGAATTTGCAGGGGCTGGGAAGTCTTCCCATGCTCCCAGTGTTCCCAGATTCTCCTCCTGGTGGGATTGGAGAGCACTGGTGTGAGGTAGGAAGTTGAAATTCCTGGATTCCCACTTTTTTTCCTCCTCGTTTTTGGGATGTAACAGCAGATTTTTCCCACCACAGGGAGGTTACAAGGCCAGGAATTGATCCTTTGGGCCACAGAAATGCAAGATTTGGGAAAAAACAGCTTGATTTTTCCAGGAGGTAAAAGAAACCAACCCCACAATCCCCCCCTCCTTCCCTCCCCCATCCCACCAGGACCTTTTCCTCATGGATTTCCTTCTCCATTCAAGTCCAGGTGCCCCAACCCTGTGGTGACAGGGACAGTGACTTGGTGACAGGTCCCACAGCCCAGCCCAGCTCAGGGTTTGGCAGCTCTGAACTTGGTGTCACCAACTCTGGGGCCTGGATTTGGGTCTATCCATGGATTTTTTTTGTGATGAGGAGATAAGACTTGGAGGTGGTGGCATCTGGGCTACCATGTTGCTCCAGCTTGTGGCCACTTCCATGGCAGAGGCTGGAAGCTTCTGGTTTGACTGTCATGACATTTTTTGGGGGGGCATTAATTGGAATTAATTCCCTTAAGGAGAAATGAAATCCCTTCCTCTCATCCCTCCAGCTCCTCTGGAAGGGCTTGGGAATACTGGTGGATCAGCTGGTCCTTGGACATCTCCCAAGGGTTTCCTTGGGTGGTGAAGGAGTCCAGAGTTTCCTCCTGCCTGGGAGTTGGGGTTGGTCTTGGACTCTCCAGTGCTGGGGGGGACTCAGGGATGAGCTCCAGGAGGACTCAGGTTTGGGCTCCAGGAAGACTCAGGGATGAGCACCAGGAGGACTCAGGGATGGGCTCCAGGGGGACTCAGGGATGGGCTCCAGGGGGACTCAGGGTTGGTCTCCAGGAGGACTCAGGGTTGGTCTCCAGGAGGACTCAGGGATGAGCACCAGGAGGACTCAGGATTGGTCTCCAGGAGGACTCAGGTTTGGGCTCCAGGAGGACTCAGGGATGGGCTCCAGCAGGATTCAGATTTGGTCTCCAGGAGGACTCAGGGTTGGGCTCCAGGAGGACTCAGGGTTGGGCTCCAGGAGGACTCAGGGATGGGCTCCAGGAGGACTCTGGGATGAGCTCCAGGAAGTTGCTCGTATATGTTGTCAGGTCCCCCCTGCCCAGCCCCTGTTCCTGTCATGCTCCTCATCCTCCAGCAGCGAAAAGGATCATCCAGCTCCAGGCCTGGGTTCCTCCTTGGGCCCTGGGGAGTTGAGGGTCTTCAAAAGGGCTTTTCCCAAGGGAAATGATCCCATCATTGCATGCTGGGAATCCATGGGGAGGTGGGAAGGGGGATGGCTGGGAGATTGGGTTGGTGACTTGTCATGGTTATCATGGACTGGTTTGGGTTGGAGGGACCTTCAAGCTCATCCAGTCCCACCCCCCATGGGCAGGGACACCTCCCAGCAGCCCAGGCTGCTCCAAGCCCCATCCAACCTGCCCTTCAACACCCCCAGGGATGGGGCAGCCACAGCTTCCCTGGGCAACCTGGCCCAGGCTCTCCCCACCCTCACACTCCACAATTCCCTCCTCAGCTCCAACCTCCAGCTCCCTCTCCCACTTTTCATCCCTCCCCCTCATCCCATCCCTCCCTGCCCTTGGCCCAAGTCCCTCCCCAGCTTTCCTGGAGCCCCTTCAGGTCCTTCCTGGAGAGCCAGGACATGGTTGGAAGTTCAACCTTCACCCTCCCAACATTCCCACTCCAGCTCTGGTTGGAGACCCCCCCAGCTGACCCCAAACCTCCCCAATGAGGACCAAGCTCTGGAGCATCAAGCAGCTCCATGTGAACCTCCCGTGTAGAACCCACCTCCTTGGCCAAGCTGGAATCTCCTCTTCCCTTCCCCCTTGGAGCTGGTGGGAGTTGCCTCTTCTTGGAAAGGCTGTGGAAGAACCAGCGCTGGGAATGGGACCTGCTGGGCAACGTGGAAAAGGGACCTGGGGGTCCCCTGGGGTGGGGAGGGGACAATTC